AATATGAAATTTCATGCTGTTTTCCCCCTAAATCGCATTCAGTGTAACTGTCCCCAAAAATTCAATTATATATTTATGGTTTTCTATTCATTTTCAGGAAAAAATGGAACTGAAATTCAGTTCTCCTTCATTTTTCCCCGAAAATCTGAATTTTCATCGACGAAATGCCTTGAAATGTCACTGCAATGAAATTCGATAAAAATTTCCAAAAAGTGTATCGGAAATGTCAGACAAAAATTTTCAACGCTGTGTTCAATTTTCCAAAAATGTTTGACACCGCTCTCCCAACAACTCCACAGGTGGTGAATCTAAAAATAAAGATTCTGCATTAGGACAACCACTAATATCGCGTTCTGCGCCCCAATCTATACTATCCTCGCAACCATCCTCGCTCATTGTGTTAACGAGACGCAAGAAGCTCTTTCTCTCTTTCAAAATCCCCCTCCCCTCCCCCTCCCGCAGCGGGATAATACATTGAGTGGGCGGAGGGTGGCCGCGGCAGCCGGACGGCGCGACTCTCCAAGCCCGTTCGATCGATGGAGCGTCGCCCGACGCGGTGAGTAACCCGTCGAGGGAGTCATACCGGCAACCACGTCCTTCCAACACTCACCTCATCCACGAGTATCCATGGCCTCAAACTTCCTTCCACTCGGGGGCTTTATACATTACATTGGCATTACAACTCGTATATATGCAAACACGTCAGCGATAATGCCAACGACGTAAGTCAGAACGTTAACCCCTGCGAGGAGTAGCACCGGCTGTAGGTTATAGACACGGTCGTCATTTATGGGGATTATTGAACTGTGTGATGTTCAGCGACATTCAATCAGCTGATGATATGGGTGACTTCAATGTGTACCTTGGGGGTGGGTTTTTTGTTTTCCAGGGCGGGGCAGGTCGCGGGAATTAATTCTAGTGTTTTGTGTGGTGATACGGGGTAGGATCGTTTGTTGACGTGATTAAATATGCCCGGTATGACACGTGCGGAACCGGGGAAATATCTTCGTAATGAGCGAGAGCAAACGATGAAGAAATTTTTTTAATGCTTTGTGGTCTAGCTATTTTCGAGGCAATTTCGAACGTTTCGTTTCATTGTCTGGTAATAATTGTATTTTAATGAATTGAAAAAAAATTTAATTAAAATTTTTTTATTCCACTTCACCGTATACCTTTCGGTTTTTACGGTAGTAATTTAAATTTACATGATTTTAAATAAAGTTGAATTTTGAGGAAGTCAATTGCTAATAGTACTCATCCATTTTGAATTATTAAATTAGTCATCAATTAAATATACAAATTCCGAATTATGAAATTTCCTTTTATGAAATTTGAAAATATTTGCTCAATAGGGTTTATTTTACAATTCCATATTTTCAATTATTGAACGACGCGTGTGGAACCGGGCAAATATCTTCGTAACAAGCGAGAGCAAACAATTTCAAACGTTTCGTTAGGTTCTAGGACGATAATACGAAATGATGTAATTCTCTGGTAATGATTGTATTTTAATAAATTGAAAAATAAATAAATAATTGAAAATTTTTTATTCCATTTCACCGTAAATCTTTCAGTTTTTACGATAATAATTTAAATTCAAATAATTTTAAATAAAGTTGAATTTTGAGGAAGTCAATTGCTGAGACTATTCATCAATTTTGAATTATTAAATTAATCATTAATTAAATATACAAATTCCGAATTATGAAATTTCCTTTTATGAAATTTGAAAATATTTGCTCAATAGGGTTTATTTTACAATTCCATATTTTCAATTATTGAACGACGCGTGTGGAACCGGGCAAATATCTTCGTAACAAGCGAGAGCAAACAATTTCAAACGTTTCGTTAGGTTCTAGGACGATAATACGAAATGATGTAATTCTCTGGTAATGATTGTATTTTAATAAATTGAAAAATAAATAAATAATTGAAAATTTTTTATTCCATTTCACCGTAAATCTTTCAGTTTTTACGATAATAATTTAAATTCAAATAATTTTAAATAAAGTTGAATTTTAAGGAAGTCAATTGCTGAGACTATTCATCAATTTTGAATTATTAAATTAATCATCAATTAAATATACAAATTCCGAATTATGAAATTTCCTTTTATGAAATTTGAAAATATTTGCTCAATAGGGTTTATTTTACAATTCCATATTTTCAATTATTGAACGATGCGTGTGGAACCGGGCAAATATCTTCGTAACGAGCGAGAGCAAACAATGAAGAATTTTTTTTCAATGTTTTGTGGTCTAGCTATTTTCGAGGCAATGTCAAACGTTTCGTTAGGTTCTAGGACGATAATACGAAATGGCGTAATTCTGGTAATAATTGCATTTTTTATCAATTTCGTCATTCATGAGATTCTGTTAATTATCAACTTTTTTTCGAACAATTCTGTTATTAAGGGTGATAAATTTGATGGTAAATGTGATGACAATTGATGGTTCAATTGGAAGGGCGTGAGCTCAGTAATCTGAAGGTTGGGGGTTCCAATCCCGCCCAGGTGTTATGGTGGTTTTGGCTTATGGTGTAGGGATTCCGCAACAATATTATTTTATTCATCATTAATTCCCACCAGACGGAGAGAAATGGTCTGTAAAAATTACGGAACTCAGTTCGCTCACCAATTACGGAATCGACTCAGAAAATCTGAGTGACGGTATCGTAATTTTTCACATGAGATTCAGATAAAAATTACGGAACGCTCCAGAAAAATTCCGTGACAGCTCCGTAAAATTTCCTACAACCACATTTCGCTCCGGAATTACGGAAAAGATACGTAATTTTTATTGAATATTTCTCTCCGTGCACGGAGAGAAATGTTCCGTAAAAATTACGGAACTCAGTTTGCTCATCAATTACGGAATCGACTCAGAAAATTTAAGTGATGGTATCGTAATTTTTGACAGGAGATTCAGGTAAAAATCGCGGAACGCTCTGGAAAAATTCCGTGACAGCTTCGTAAAATTCCGTGCACGGAAAGAAATGTTCCGTAAAAATTACGGAACTCAGTTCGCTCACCGATTACGGAATCGACTCAGAAAATTTGAATGACGGTATCGTAATTTTTTACAGGAGATTCAGATAAAAATTACGGAACTCAGTTCGCTCACCGATTACGGAATCGACTCAGAAAATTTGAATGACGGTATCGTAATTTTTTACAGGAGATTCAGATAAAAATTACGGAACGCTCCAGAAAAATTCCGGGATTTTAGGTAAAAATGACACATTTCGCTCCGGAATTACGGAAAAGATGCGTAATTTTTATTGAAGATTTCTCTCGTAGCAGCAGTGTCAGTCGCTCCCCCAATTTCTCGAATAACGGCAAACGGTATACTTCTCACCCCGTCGAAAACTCCAGAATTCAGAAAACGAATACTGATTCATTGTTTCCTCACAGCCCCTCGCCAACCCCTGCTGATCCCTTGTGGCTATCGTTCGGCCCATGAGTCACGGGATTTTACGCGCTCTGTTACCCCTCTCCGTTGTGTACAATCGATCCATCCTACGAATGAATGGTGTAGGTCCTCCAACTTATCGTCGGTATTTTTCCATTGTTACATTTTACCGCATCGAGGGTTTATTTTTTCACGGCCGACAGACTTTCGTCGCAAATCCACACATTTATTTGCCTCGAGCGCTACATGAGACGATCCCTACAAATGATCTCGTAGTAATCATCATGTGGATATTTCCCCTGGATTGCGGAGAGTACACTCTAGCGAGGATTAGAGTTATCGTTGAAGGCAGGTGAGGAGGGCTCGTGACAAAAGTACTTACTCGAGTATAGTTGTAAAGGGTGCTCTGCGGGAAGAGTGGGGGAGGGGAGCGAGAGCGGGTGGGGAGGGGAAGGGGAGGGGAGTGTTGTGGAAGAAGTGAAGAAGTAGAATGGAAACGAAAGAAAGGGAAATGGGAGAGGAGAGCATTGGCCCTTGGAGCACACGCCCGAGGGCTTGCTGAGACCCTCTCGTGGGAAATCAGAAATGCGTTGAGCCTCGTGGAAACTCGGTGAGGATGGACGGCTTCCGTCAACAAGCCTCGTTGTGCACCGGCGGCACATCTCAGTGGGATGAAATCAGGAAATCAGTTGACCCGCAGTCATTTTCCGTAATGGACACTTCCATTTTGATTTTAATTCATTATGTGCCATTCTCATGTGGTCAATTCATTAAGTAAATCAGCGTCGTTTATTCATTTTCTTATTGCTTTCGAAGGGGAGCTTTGGGGTCGTTCAAATTATTTTTTTGTGGTGTTAATGGACGGAATTTAACCTGTTTTTTAATTTAGGTATCACTGAGATTTATTGGTCGACATTGATTAAAATTTAATTCATATACTAATTTTTAGAATTTCAGAATTACAAAAAAATTGGTTGTCCCATGATAACTAAAAAAATATTCGAAATTCGTCGAATGGTGGATTTTAAAAATTGTTTCGATGTCAATAGTAATAATTGGTGTTTTGATTTATGCAATAATTTTCAAAAATACGAAATTTTTGGAAATGGTTAATGATTATTATTATTTATCATTATTAGTTTTCAAAAATTTTGTATTTTTGAAAATGAGAATTCCGGAGATTGCGACGGAATTTTCCGTCTGGGGCTGGAAAACCACGTTAACTTACGCTTGGCTTAAATAAAAGAAACTAAAATATCTCCGGGGACCGTCAAACCGGAAAAATCTTCGAAGCGGATGCTCGAGAGGAAAACGAAACCCAAAACGAAATTCTTAAAATTACTCAGCCTAACAGATATCTTTGAATATCATGCTTCAAATCAGTATCATTTCAATAGCAAGATCCGTCAGTTTCATTTTCATTACGATTTTTGCAAATTAAAATTTTTCTAAAATCACAGGTCCTTTTTGACAGCGTTCAAAAAGGACGTGTGCAGTTGATACTGCAGGAACAACTGGACACATGTCGACTGTGGTAAATCCAAGCTGACATCAGTCGATAATTTCATAACCTGCTGTTACCTACACATTTAACCGCAGGATCAGTGGAACTGCTGCACCGCGAGCCCTGGGAAAAAATTTTAAATCATCCCAGAGCAAAAATACTGAAGGATTTTACTTCAATCAGTGAACATAAAACATTAATCACATCGATGATAATTTATGCAAGTCCACAATTGTCATCAGGTGTTCCAAATATAATTGAAAGGGCTCGACACACGTCTAACCTCCACTAATTTGCCTGAGTGAGTCCTCTTTTAATTTGCATTCCCCCATATGAATATTATCTTCATGTTGTTTATTCTTCCCCCGATTTAAATTTCTTCTCATTTTTAGAAACAACCATGCGCTGCTAGATATCATATCCTCGAGATAAATGAAAAAAATGTTCGCAGCGACTGGTTGACTGATTAATCCATGAATAACAAAATTTCCACCGAAAATGCTGACGTTTGAACCCCCAAAACTGGTGAAACCTCCGGTAATCGAGGAAAAAGACAAGAGGGTCTTCCTGCAGGATCCAGTATGGGACCAGGTTGCAGTTTACCTCATAGGTAATCAGCAAAGGTTTCGGGATAATATTGTCATCCCTCGAGGAGTTGCCCCAGTTCACATAAAGACTAATGAAGAAAAGGCCATCGAGGCTGCCATGGAGAGCTGCGTCTTCAAGAGCATCATGAGCTGTGTTCTAGGTGAGTTAAAAAACAAGACGAAAATTTGTAAAAAAAATTGTAATCGGACCAGTAGTTTTATAGATATTGAACAAGAGATTCACATACGAAGTTGAATATTTCCTAAACTACTGGTAGAATTTGTCTCATTTAAACGACCAAACTTTGCTATCATAAGCCTTTTTTACTTTTTTAATTTTAATTTTTCAATTTTTTTCATCATAAATCCTTTCTTACTTTTCCCAATGTTCACACACAAATTCATCAATTCAGTAGCGAAGTAGTAAAGCGGTTTAAGTCGACTTATCTCCCACTTTCTGAGTTTCTGAGGAATTTTTCCGAATCTAAGGGAAATAGCGAAATTTTCATGATCACATTTGTTGTAGCTCTCAATCGGCTCTACAAAAAAGGTTACAATAAAAATTTTGCCATCTCCCTTAGATTCTGAGATATTTATTGAAAACTGGCCAATAGTAAAAATTAACTTTGTTGAAGCTCATTACCAAGACGGAGAACAATATTTTATATATTAAAAAAAAACATCTCTTTTGTTCACCAATTCAATGAGTCGTTAACATGTCGTTAAAAGTTGAAAGTGTTCATTATGCCCCACTCGTCTCTTCCTCCAAAACATCTTAAACATATTTTCGTCATGTGCAGTTCCTCGAAAAACCCTCACCCCATTCTGTATATTTATTTTCACTATTCTAGGGTTCGGACTGGGGGCTGCAATAGGTTTATTCAGCTCTAGTGTTAATCCTAATGTAGCTGTTGTGGAAAAACAGCAAACTGCACGTGAAATCTTCAGGGAAATGAAGACAACGACTATCGGATATGCTAAGAACTTCGCTGCCATTGGATGTGTATTCTCAGCTGTTGAATGTTGTATAGAATCTGTAAGCTCATTACTGAATGAATTATTTTATTCATTTTTCTTCGTTATTTAATTGATTTGTGAATTCCTCAGTTGAACATGAGGATTTCTTTTCAGTAATTCATATTATCTGGCACAATTTAATGCCAGGAAAAACTAATGAGATTTCCAATGAAAAATATCTCGTGATATTTCCCATTAAGTCAGTCTCAAAGGAATTTGATATTATTACGTATTGTGGGTCATGAAATTTGCATTCTTCTTGTAATCAAATTAATTCAAGAGAAACTACCAAGAAAACTCTCTTGTACTGGATAAATTCCCATCACAAATTACGTATTCTTCTTAGATCAGTCACGATCAAAATAATTTTAGAATAATTCAACCGATTGTGAATTACCCTGTGAACAATTATCCTTAAAAGACATTTTTTTTACCTTTTAAAATTGGCAACAAGTCTTTCAAATGTCCCTTTAAAATCCCCCATTATCAAAACAATTTATTATTTAACAGTAATTCGATATTTACCATCGAAAATAATTCCAAAAAATACACAAATCGAATTTATTCATCTGTAAAGGTTTATTCATCAGTTCGTTGTATACATGTTAATGAATGAATTAAACATTTCAGTACCGTGGCAAATCCGACTGGAAGAATGGTACATACGCTGGTGGCCTGACTGGAGGTCTCATTGGTCTCAGAGGTAAGTCTTTGATGTCTCAAACGAGATCGAATGAAAACTTGTAAAATTCAAATCAATGACTCGAGAAATTATTTCAGCCGGTGTCAAGGCGGGTATAATCGGCGCTGCTGGCTTCGCAGCATTCTCAACAGCTATTGATTACTACATGCACAAATGAGCCTGACCGTTGTACATAATCGTGTAAATGAAATTATCATAATTAAATTCTGCACGTTTCCCCCGTGCTTTGAGAAAAGCTTACATAAGTACTGAAATAAACCTTAAACTTTAGTGACAGAATACTTGAATCACTTATTACTTCTGCATTTTGGTCGTCACCACAGATCGTACTTCCGATTTTTTTTTTTTACTTTACGAAAAGTACAATACAAAAAGGTAAAAAATTTTGGTAAAAATAATTCGAGTCTATAATTACTGAGTAAATTAGATGTGGAAGAATGTGTGGAAATATTCGTCAATTTCTTATGGTTCCTTATCACAGTAAAAGGAAGATTTTTTTATAAAACGAAATGATTTACGATTAGAGAATTGCAAGTTCTTGAATTAAGTAAATAGTCAATGCAGATGAGCAAAATCGTGAAATGTAACAATTCGATTGCTTCTATTTTCAAAGTAAATGGAATTTAATCGAATTACACATCACGTTTTACCACTTCACAAGCTTCATACATGAAATGAAAAATGTTGAAAAAAGGTGCTGCTGACGTATAAAAAATTGCACAAAAATATCAGACACTTTTTTCACTCATTTAGGCTCTCGACTTTAATCTTAAAATCTAATCAGTGAGTGAGGCTAAAAGAGGAACCATGTACACTGTTGAAGATTTTTGATTGAAATTTCTGGTACACTTATTGGAAATTTTCATCGCATTTCATTTCCACTGAAATTTCAAGTAATCAGAGACATTCAAGTGAATGCTCAATTAAATCTGCTGAATATTTTAATTTTGCATCCTTAGATTGAAATTTCATCGAATTTTCAGGGAAATCTGAAATTTTATCATTTTTTCCCCCCGAAATGGCGCTCTCCTGAGAAATGCTAGTCAATTATCCACGAAATTTCAATTATTTTCCAACAGTGTAGCAGAGTGCACAGCAGTATCAATAGTAATATGTACAAATATAGAGCCAATGAGAAATACTGTAAATTCAATAATATGACATTTCTCTCAGCAAAAAAATATGAGGACTGCAAGGCACTTTTCAGGTTCTGTAAATGGGAATAATGATAGCTTCAAGAAAGATAATATGACTCATTCACTCATTCGACGTTGAAAAATATCGTATTACCAAAAAATATATCGAGTTATATTTTTATGAATTGATACGTGGAATTGTGTAACGGTCTTGACGGTTTTATGAATTATGCACGACGCGGAGTCTGACACCGTTACGCCTTTCTCTCTGGATATTCTTACTCCCAATTGGGTGATTATTACTCTCTTTTGGCACCTGACAAGGAGAAACATTTCAGTCCTCAATTTGTTAAGGATTACAACTGCTGATGCTGAATCTGCGCCTGAACTGCTGCCAGCATCTCCTGCATGCGACGGATCTCAGCGTCTTTCTCTTGGAGCTTACGATCTATTTCTGATCCTGCTGGTTTCTCCGGCTCAATTACCCTGAGATGCAGAAAAACGAAATTAGAATTTCATTGGGTTGGGGATGAAGTTGTGGGTGAATTTAATTTCTGGGGGATTTGCTTACGTTTGCCTTCTTGGGGGCGCCGGTGCTCCTTTAGCCAATCTCTCACTTCGATAGTTCTCGTAATGTACTTCTTGAGTTACTTCTTGCAGGTCCTGCATGTGAGCACTGAAAAAATGGAGGAGAAAATTATTAAAAATTGTTTTAGTGATTTTATTTTGGAGTTAACATCAGGTTAATTTCAAACTTATCTTTGCTAACTTCAAAAATCTTATGCATTATTCTTTTTCTCGCAAGAAATTTTATAAGCTAGACGACAGGTCCTTAAATTTTTCTTGAAATCTACCAGTTTTTAAAATATCTGCGAAATAATTTATAACAAATTTCGTATTCATCTCTTCCAATCAATAAGCAACACTAAAGGAAAATATCAAAAGGCTTTTTAAAATCTTCTTGCTACAGAGATGTTTGCAAAATATTTTTAAAAACTTTTGAAGTCAATTCTCTAAACTTTGATTTAGTTATTTGTTAATCTTAAAAAAATCTCACTAATGAGTAATACAAAAAAAAAGAACAAAACATTTCCCTAAAATTAAATAAAACAAAACGACTAGAAATATGAATATGAATAAATAAATATGAACCTGAATTCACTAAATTCATGAAAACTTACATGAGCATAGTTCTGAGCTTGATAAAATCACAATGATCGGGATTCTCGACCTCTACAACACCCCACGGATACAATCTCCCCCGCACTTTTCTCCCCTTGACTTCCAACAGAGTATTAGCCCCACAGACAGCAAATGGCATGGCCTCCTTCAATTGCCTCACTTGTTCTTTGTAATCTTCGTCCTCATCGCTGTCGCAGTCAGGCAGTGAGTAAATTTTAATTCCATGCTCCTCAATCTCCTCCATCACTCGTTTCTTGAGACGCAGCACTTCCTTCTTAGTGAGCACATCAGCCTTGGCAATGACTGGCACAATGTTCACTTTATTGTGAAGCTGCTTCATAAATTCAATGTCCAGGGGCTTGAGTCCGTGGCCAAATGGAGAGATGAAGTAGAAGCAGCAGTGTATCCTGTTGTCGACGATATTTCGCCTGTTCAATCCACTCTCGTCCCTCAGGAATCTCTCGAATTGATCGTCGATGTATTGGAATATGGCCTTGAAGCAGTCGGTGTTGTCGATGGCGTCACCGTAGCCCGGAGTGTCCACAACTGTCAGTCGAAGCTTCACACCTCTCTCCTCTATCTCGACGGTGGAGGCGTCCAGCTTGACTGTCTGCTTCGTCTTCTCAACGGCGTCTGGTATCATTCTCTCGGGGTAGAGGTCAGTGAGAAAGAGACTGTTCACCAGGGTCGATTTACCCAGGCCTGACTCACCAACCACCATTAGGGTGAACTCAAATCCCTTTTTCACGGATTTTCTGTGGACCTGGTTCGGGAGATTGGCGAAACCAACGTAGCCCGCGGTTTCTAGACTAGAAAACTGGAAGAGGAATGGGAGAGTTCGGTGAGATTGGGGAGGTCTTGACGATGTTGAGGCATTTGAGGATATCCAAGTATCTTTACAGGCTGGTACAGGCTGCACTATAGATTCAACCTATTCTTAATAATTTAATTTGGCAATTAAATTGCAGAAGTTTTTTTTTTTAAATCATCAATCATGACGTCATCAATCAGAGTCAGTAAAATTACGTTTTGCACAGAATTATTATTTTTGAAATATTTGTTGTTAATAATTAAATGATAAAATTAACTGAAATTAACGAATAATTGAAATTGTGTAAACTTTCAGAAACCTTATTTTTTTAGGGATGAAATCGATTTCTGGGAAAATTCTGAATATGAATAAATTTGTTTCAACTCCGAATGGCCCATTTTTATGATAAAAAATTGAGTGTTTATAAATCTTATTTATAAAAAATGCTCGTAATTTTTAAAAATTGCAATTTTTTAATTATTTCATGAATCTCCTTCTAAAAGTATACTTTCTACATTTTTTCAAATTTTTAAAACGTTTTCTAACGGTTCAATATCGAGATTCAAATTTAGACCGGAGAAGTTTAAATAATATAAAATCATTGTGAAGTGAAATCATCTCAAATTGCAGCTCTGAAGTTCGACTACGAAAGTATAAAAGCATTTCGCCGAAGAGAAAATAGCCAAAGTACTTGGATATCTGTAATGTCGTTGAGAATGGAGAGATGGAAGCGTTCAATATTTAATTGAAGCCATTAATTTATTGTTAACAAAGTTTGTTAACTATTAATAAATGATAGAGTGGAAGATGTTGAAATGTAAGTTCTTCAATGGCCAATAAATGATTTAGTTGACAGAAGAAAAATCAAGTAAAAAAATAATAAAATTGAAATTGTAAATAATAGTGCTTTTAAGTGGTTCACACTACATTATGAATATATCATTATGAATTACGAATGAAGTTTATGTGAGTAATAAAATAATAAAGTATTTGAAGAGAAAATGTGAAGAAATATATATCTTTTTCAATTCTGTAAATTAATGAAGGCCTTCAAAAGCCTCCAGAAATTAACAATTGTTGACTAAATTTCTCATATCATGTCCTGCTAAATGCAAAATTATCTCAGTACTGAGGTATTCCAGCGGAAAATATCAAAGAACATATTCTTTGAAAATTCTATTAGCAACAAGAATTCTTTCTTGACATTTTGTACTAAAACCATTCATCTCAGAATTAAATAAACGAAAAGTAAATAAATCTCTTTCATCTTGTCGTGCAGAATGTAAAATTATTTCGATAATAAGTCATTTGGGGGAAATCTCAGAGACATTTTGTGCAGGAAAACTGAGCTGCAAATAAAGTCCTTTAACATTTTTCCTTTAAGTCACTCATTCCTGAGCTAAATCCCAATCCCACAAATCTATAAAAGTGTTTCCTTTCTTGCTGACTGTTTTATATTAATTAATTATCATATCATGCATTGATGAAAATGAGTTTCAGGGGTAACATAAGGACAGCAGGGCATAACCTTCAGGCCGACCACTGGCATTTCCAGGGCTAATCCTTACCGTTTTCACACTCTCACTAGACATCTTCGAGTCCCACGAAAAACACAACTAACGAAACTACTGAAAACCGATAATAATTGATGATATGAGGGGAATATTGACTAAGGGACGTTAAAACAATACGGGGGACTACCGGACGCCGTTGCCTGTCAGAGTAACAGGTACACACACACACGAAACAACGCCAATTGTGACTGAGACACTTTATTTTCGAGGAAACACTTTTCGATACAGTTGGGCAGCTTTCCTCTGGGTCCTCCTGTCTCATTCGTCGGCTCGCGTGGGCTCGACCAATCCGACGGACTCTGTGCAGTGACGAACAGAATAAAACGCACAGGAAGTGGCGGACTAGGAGGGGAAGTGCTGAAGGCGTGGCAAAAATGAGAGAATCACGAAATTATCGCACTCAGAGTTATTGAAACTCACACTCTTCAATTAAAACCATTAAAATCACTCGAGCCATTTTAATGAACGATGAATCCGGAGATTAAACTTCTCATTCTCATACAGCAAATCTCAATATCATTTTTTTTTCGATTTTTTTAACATTTAAAAGTAAAAAAGGAAAATTTGATTTTTTTGGTTTGATAGATTGATTAAAAATTTTTTTCAATTAAATTATCGTGATATTTGAGGATAATTGAACATCTGATTGTCATAAATTAATGCTCAATAACCCTGTTTCAATTTTTAGAAATAAAATGGAAAATAATAAAAGAAAACATTTGGATTTTTTCATTTAGTTTTTCTATTTCTTCACGTAATTTTTTGGTTAAGAAAAAAATTTAATTGAGTTTCTGTTGTATTAGAGGCCGTTAGAACCTCAAAATTAAATTTTCACTTGCAAATCGCAATCAATTATTTAATCGCTTTTAATTAGAAATAGTAAATCTCACAATTTTTTCTCTGTTTAAAGAAAAGTAGAAAAATAACAGAAAAAAAAAGAATCTTCCATTGACGATTTCATTATTGTTTTACTGAATTCTTTGATTAATAAAATTTTCAATTACTGTATTAGAAAATAAAAAAAAATAAAGTTGAAAAATGAAAAAATTTGCATTACTTCATCTAATTCTTCTATATTACTTTATTAGATCTACTGAATGAAGAAAAGATTGTTTAATTAAATTATCAGTATATTAGAGGCCGACTTACAAAATACATCAACGCCGGTACAATTAACATTTACAATGAAAATTACAAGAGACAAATTTCCTAGCGTCATTATCATGATATTTAAAATCATTCAGTTTGAATTGTCATCTTTATTTTATGGTACATTACAATTTCGATATATATGAGGCAAACATCTACTTTATTTTCATGAAATATTGATCCATATACAAGCATTGTTTTACATATATTTTGTAATTTCTGTAACTTTATTATCGTTCGTGTTAATAGGGCACTGTCTTCATGATCAATTATTTATTAATAGTTCTCAATGACCATAAAAACCCTGCCTTTCATCGATTAATCCAACTGAATTGATAAAATGTCTTCGGTAATGAAATTGTTATTATTGATGCATAATTGTTGGCGCGCTCGTTAAATCACGCATGCTTCATTCATCAATTAAAAATCACTATCGTTATTTACTTAATTCATTTATTCAGTGATAATTCACCCCAATGCAATAATTCTCTCATGATAATCAACTGCTCAAAACTGAAACTACTATTCTAAACAAAAATTAGGTGGGGGGAAAAAAATAGTTTTCATGGATTTGTAATTTTTTTCTTCTTTACACAAAATTATCAGTTTAAAAACAAATTCAATATTTAGCCAAATCAATTGTCTGCTTCGGGGTTATCCTCAGTTTCATCGCTGCAAATAACAAAACATTGTTTATAATCAATTATTGATTTTGTGGTGTGAGGATGAACGGTGCCGATGAATTTGTTGATTTGAACAATCTCGAATATTCCTCGATATTCAGAACCCAAAGAGAAAGTTAGATCATCTTCGTATAGCGAAAAAAAAAAATAGTTTTCCAATTTTTTTTGTCATTTGCTTACATTTTACTCTTTTTTTCTTAATTTTTATCGTCATTTCTTTTTCTGCTGGTAAATTTGTACATATTCTTTATCATGAGCTCGATCTCAGGGGGTGAGGGAGGGGGGGGGATAAGTATCAACAATATGAACCCGACACTTTATACAACACTAGGCTTTTTCTCATTTTCTTTATAAATATTAATTCATATTCAAACATCCATTTTACATTCACTTCATTCTATCATGTTTATTCATATTCCTGGGGGAGGGGGGAGGGGGGGGAGATTAAACTGTAGTGATTTTTCCTATGAAACTCCTTAGTAACTAGTGGACTCTGAAGAGCAAAAAAAAAAAAGAAAAATGTAAATATAAAAATTAGAATTTTCGGAGTTGAATTGAATCATGATTGTTATATTATTTCCCTCTATCATCACCTTCACTCTGCATAAGGGAAGACACTCCCCAGAGGACGCTCCCTCAGATATTACTCTTCCCCTCGACGAAAAAAATAACTGCGGAGCACCTTATGACCTCGTAACATATTTTTTTTACGTTTTTTTCGCATTTTTTAGTTTTTTTTTCAATATTTTGTGGGTTTCTTAATCAACGATGGTTTCCTTAGTAGAAATTATGCCCCCATGATTTTTTTATGTGAATTGTTCTTAGGGAGAGTTTGAACTATCGTAACGTTTTTCATTTGTGAAAAAAAAAAATTGAACAAAAATTTACTTGGGATTGTCCTCCCCAACTTTTTCCTCTCGTGGCTTGGCTCCACCGTAAATTGAACTGCTTTTGCTGGATGCAGCTAGTGCATTGACGGGTTCTTTGACAGTTCTCTTGAGAAGTTGAAGACGTTTTCTTCCGGTTGTGTCTGAAGAAGAGGAAATTGTATTTTTGAAAACACCAAGGTTTAATCGAGAAAAACATTTTCGTTGGGGACGTTTTGACATTTTGTCATTAATTTTTCGATGAACTTTATTCTTCTTTCATAAAACTAATCTCAATGCAAATTTTTCTCTGTTTTTTCAATATAAAAGAGACGAATAAAAAGGAAAATTACGATTTTTCTAATTGACTTTTTTTGGGTTGTTTCATTTGATTGACAGATTGAAAAAAAATTGTCCAATTGAAAAATGAGCCACGAATATTTGCAAAAAAATCAGAATTTAGTTAAAAACATTTTTGTTTGTACAATTAATTTGCAGAATTAAATTAAATGTAAGAAACTTTGCTGTTTATTTCCCGGAAAGATCGAATTATCTCCATATTGCTGAACAATTCCTGAAGACAATATCAAGAAATAAAAATATCTTTCGAAATTTCATCAACTCTGCAAAATCTCTCTCGATAAAAACCCACAAGTGTATCGGAATCATTGGAGAATGATTTTTACTTCATTCGATGATCTACAAACCTGCTGGTGGGTCTTGGAGGAATGGTTCATCCTGGAAGGACTTGCTGCGCTCACCAGGAACCCCTCTGCGCTCCCCAGGAGCACTTCTCCCTGGTCCACCACCACCGTATGATCTCGGACCACTACGATCAGACCCACCACCACCACCGGCACGTGACGGCCAATCGCGATTGCCATCCTCACTGAAACTACCGTAACTTCCTTGATTTCTTCCTCTCATATCTCCACCTCCAAAACCACCTCCACCTGGTCTTCCCCCAGGACCACCCTGTTGTCTTCTATCATTGTATCCTCCTATTGAAAAACGGAAAATGTTCAGTCAATATTTAACTGCTTCAACCACAATTTTTTGAGTAAATGGGGAGAGTTTAATGGAAATCGTGCCTCTAAGATTGTTTCTACTCTATACATGTGAAAAAAGTAAATGAAACTTTCTCTAAGAATTTGTAACAAAAATTCTATTCGTTCATTGCGTTTTTCAATAGATATTTTATTGAAAAAAAGCAATAGAAGTTAATTTTTCTGCAAGAATTCTCGAACTTGAAAAAGTGCGGAGAATTTGGGCTCAAGAATTTCTATAAAATAAATCTCAAGAGAATAAATCATACAAAAAAATTAGACCTATGGAATTTTTCATAAAATTTCTATTGAAAAGTCTCGTTCGTCGAGAAAGTTTTAAATTTTTCAACTAAATTCTTTCAAACGTGAAATAAAAAAATCTCAAATCGTTAGAATTAATCTCTAAATATTCCAAAATAAGATAAACTACGTTTGAATTTTTACGTGAATAAATCAGCAACAGAATGAAATGATTCAACTCGACATTTGACACTCAATTTTTTATGAATATCTTTGTATCTAAAAGTGATAAAAAATGTTATCACCTTTGACATCTGTAAAAAACTAGAGTCAACGTGATTTGAATAACAAAATGCCACGAAAGCAGAACGAAAAAATAGATTATCTCAAGTTGGCACTAAAACACGAAACGTTATGCCATGCATAACGCTTACTCGGGTACATAGAAGAGCTACCAAAACCTCCACCAGATGCAGGTCCACCGCCACCTGGGCGCCCTCCTTTTCTGTCAAATCCACCCCTATTGTCTCTTTTCCCCTCGGCAATGTCAATTTTAATTTCCTGCTGCTCGACAAATATTCCACCCCTCATTTGCAGGGCATTCTGTAAGTCAGCCACTGTGGAGAATTCGACATAGCAGAATCCCTTAAACCTGGAATTGCAAGGGATTAATTATCAGTGAAGGAATTTTATTCAGAAAAAAATAAATACCCAGAGGAATGATGCATTTGAATCGAATAAAATTCTTTTCGTAATTTTTTTACCCATTTCAACCACATTTTCATCGAAAATTGATAAACTCATGTATTTATTTTCATTAAACTATTTCAATTGTATGAAATTCTTTATGAGAATGAAAAAAAATTGTTAATTCAAATAAATGATTATTATATACCAATAAATTATGCAATTTTTTATTAATGAAGTATTTGGTTGAATCAAGGAAACATTAGTTTTTATTTTTTAAAAATATGAATTCAAAGTGAATAAAAACGTAAAAAAAATACAGTTTGAGTTCCAATAAAATATTTATCAAACTCATTTATTTTCTTGGAATAAACCATTTCTCTGAAGGTCAAAAACTTGTCCTCATTGAATATGAATATCTCGATAACTGAGGATTAATGAAAAATACCTCAAGACTTTTTTTGTAAAAAACAAAAAATCCGCTACAAATAGTCTTTAAGAATTTTTTTCAACTCAAATTGTCTCAATAACATTATTCATAAGTTCATCTATAAGCAATTTTAACAAGCCAAGGAGTGATGAAACTCAATCAGTAGAAAATTATATCTTCGTTGAATACGACATTATCCAGATGAGTGACTTCAGCCAAGAGAAATATTTTTAATGAAAACGTTTTCGAATGTAAAATAAATCTCTCAGAATTTCGTCGTAAAGACACTCCTCTCCAGGATGAATACGTAATTAATTTGCAGAAATAGATTAAATATGTATTTTTCATTAAACATGAGATTATCTCGACACTGATAAGCAATTCTCAAAAAAAAATTCAAGAAAACAAATCTTTTCCTGGCATTTTTTTTCAGACTGCATCAATAATCCAGAAAGTGTTCGATAGTTATCGAGAAAAAACCATAATTAATTTCCATCAGCAACCTCAATCAACTAATCAACAACTACATTAATAAAAATTCATCCTCCCAAACCCTGAAAATCTCACGTCAATTACTTGTCGGTTTCTCGATCCTTCACCAATCTCACATTCTTAACGCTCAGCTCGGAGAACATCTTATCAATGTCCCTTTGAACAACTCCATCGGGTAAATTTCCCACGTACGCCGTGTAGGGTGGTTCAGTGGGCAAAGGTTTCCTGCTACCTCGGTAGCCACCTCCACCGGAAAAATCCCTGGAACAACAAGCAGCAAAAAATTGAAGATGAAACAATAAAAATTGCAGAGGAAATGCCCTGGACAGTTCAATAATTCATTTCTCCATTTATTCACTCATGAAATTCGCCTATCGAGCCGTAAATCTACTTTCAAATACATAAAACAGTGAGTGTAGGTCATAAAAGGGATAAAACTCGACACAGTAATGCCTCCTCTCCCCTCTCAAACTCAAACTGAAAAAAATTAAATTTCAATTCTTCAATTCTCTAAAAATTTATCTCAATGTGTTTGCAAAATTTACATCAAAATGAAATCACGTGTTTTATTTTGGAGTTAATTCCCTTGAATCCTCCACAGAGCAGCCCCCAGTGACCCCCCACACCCTCCCAATGATCTCAATTAAATTCTCGACCCCAGTAAACAAGAAAACCCCCAAACCCCTCAAGACTGACTCCATAATCACCGAGAAATCCCTCATCAATCAACTAGAACTCTCCACCGACGCCCTCAGGATCATCTCCTGGGTCTCCTCCACCTCCGATCCTCAACCTCATCATCACCAACATCAAAGATAAACCCCTCGCCCCTCCCTCCCACACGCTGAAGAGATTCACCAGCGAAAAACGAAGCAAACACGACGTTATGTCGAATAAACCGAACCTCCNACTCCTCCACCTCCGATCCTCACGGGGCCCTCCAACGCCCCCCGCAGACCCCATTCCCACCAAAACAAATCGCAAAATCAAAAAATCAAATTTCAATTCCCCAATTCTTCACAAATTTAACTCAATGTTTTTCCAATATTAACTGTAAAATAAAATCACGTGCTTTATTTCGGAATAAATTCCCTCGAAGATCAGAGAAGCTTAGTAAACCCTCTTCAGAGCAGGCCCCAGCGACCCCCCGCACCCTCCCAATGATCTCAATTAAATTCTCGACCCCAGTAAACAAGAAAACCCCCAAACCCCTCAAGACTGACTCCATAATCACCGAGAAATCCCTCATCAATCAACTAGAACTCTCTACCGACGCCCTCAGGATCATCTCCTGGGTCTCCTCCACCTCCGATCCTCAACCTCATCATCACCAACATCAAAGATAAACCCCTCGCCCCTCCCTCCCACACGCTGAAGAGATTCACCAGCGAAAAACGAAGCAAACACGACGTTATGTCGAATAAACCGAACCTCCAGACGAAGCTCGGCATCCTGGAGGACGCTGCTGACCTCCCAGCATTCTGCCACCCCCACGGGGCCCTCCAACGCCCCCCGCAGACCCCATTCCCACCAAAACAAATCGCAAAATCAAAAAATCAAATTTCAATTCCCCAATTCTTCACTAATTTATCTCAATGTTTTTGCAATATTTACTCCAAAATAAAGCCGCGTGTTCGGTACCATGTTTCGCATAGTGCCCTTGCGCCGAACACAAAATGATCCCCCCATTGGCACAAAAACTTAACCTTAAAACCGTGATAATGTCGATTACGGGGAGTCCGTGGGTTATCACTTGGAGATTATTTATTTCCTTTACTTTCACGATGTTCAACTCTGTAATTATTATCTTCTCGCGGTGATTTGGGGGTTTACTGGTGTAATACTTGCCTAGAATCTTCGTAACCACCTCGACCAGCCATGTTGGATGCGAGAAAACTGAGAAACCGGGGAAGAGAGCGCGCCGCGCTCGACTCAGCGGAGCCACTGAGGGGATCCCAGGGATCATCACAATCAAAATGGCTAGCTTTTATTTTTTTTCGCTAGTTTTTTCGAAGGTTGCGGGCATTTTGGGGAGTGGAGAGTCACTGGCGGGGGTTCGCGATCCTTTTGCTGATTAATTTTGGGTCTTTATCAGTTTTAATGACTAATTGCACGGCTGGACGGGCATTAATTAATTAGATTTTGTCGGGGTTTCGGAGCTGTAATTCAATTAGGCGATTGCGGACTCTATTTTTATGTTTGAATGCCGAAGATTATTACGTTTTTAGCCTTTTTATGGTCCGTTTGACAGTGCTGGTTATTTCTATTTTAAATAGCGGACGGTTTTGTTAATAGTGTTGGCAATTAATTTATTTAAATTATGAATAAAGCTCTGGGATTTTTCAGGGAATGGTAGGGTTTTTAGTGAAACGCGGCATTCAATTTATTTGCGGGATTTTGGGAGAAATTGTTTTGTTAATTATTTTTGATTTTTAATCAATTGTTTGACGCGGGTCAGACGTTCATGAGCACTGAGGCAAGCCTTTCACGTTGGATTTCGTCGAGCTGGCGCCGCGCACGCATCGCGCATGCGCAGAGCGTTTTGTGAAATATTTCAAATGATTTTAAAAGTCAATCGCGGAGACAGGTATTTTTAATTCCGATGAATAGTGGGAAATTCCATTGGATTTTCATTTGAAATTCTTATGAAATACTGTCAAAAAAATTTGGAGATTTTATAGCGATGGAGCAGAATAAAGATTTATTTTTTTCCCTGAAATATCTTCTATTGAACATTTCTATCTTCAAGAAATGTCACCAGAAATGCTGCAAAATTTTTCAATAGAATCGTATTTAAACACTAAACAATTTTTCAATAGAATTCCCATGAAATTCAAAACCGAAACCAAATCTGGAATTTCAGAAACATGTTTTCAATTTTCCATTTTTTCAATTTTTTAATTCAAGTCTTTATTGATGTTTTCAATGCACGAAACGGTATAAATGAATTATGAATGCGACGAGAAAAATTTGAAACATCTCCAAACGTTTCGACTTCAGCGAGTCTGATGAGTTTCTGTACATAGTTTCGTTCATCCAGTCAAAGTAATAATCCAGTCGGCAATAGACCCCTGGCGAGTTGGCTACCGCACACCCCTGTCCCCAGGACACCAGACCCACCTGTGTGCCATTGCAGACGAGCGGACCTCCACTATCGCCCTGTGAGTTCAATCGAAACGGAAAAATGTCATTACGAAGTGGTCAAACGGTGCAAGTCGATTTTGACTATTGGCCAGTTTTCAATGAATCTCGAAATCTAAGGGAGGTAGCAAAATTTTTCTCATGACCTTTTTAGTAGCACTCAATTCGCTCTACAAAAAAGGGCATTATGAAAATTTCGCTATCCCCCTTAAATTCGGAAATATTTCTGGAAAACTCAACTTAAGACTAAACTGACTTAAACCGTTTGACCACTCCGCTACTGAATTCATTTAGAAGAATTCCAGTAAAACTCCGATAGCATTTCCAAGAGAAAGCGCTACATTGAGAGAAAAACGTTGTCATACAACTCTCGTTTGGGCCAACAAAATCGCTAGTTGAAAATTGCCAAAAAAGAATTTGTTTGGTTCGAATTTGAAAGTCTCAAACATGAATAATTGTTCTGCTTTCGATAGCAACGAAATATTTGGCTCAAGAGGCGGTTAGTTCACACCAGACGGTGCCTTCTCACACGGAGAGAAATATCCAATAAAAATGTCGTATCTTTTCCGTAATTCTGGAGCGAAATGTGGTTGTACGAAATTTTACGGAGCTATCACGGAATTTTTTCGGGGCGTTCCGTTATTTTTATCTGAATCTCCTGTGAAAAATTACGATACTGTCACTTAAATTTTCTGAGTCAATTCCGTAATCGGTGAGTGAATTGTGAGTTCCGTAATTTTTATGGAACATTTCTCTCCGTGCGGGATGAAAATATCTCATATAGAGGAAAATTTATCAACAAATATTTTATCCCTAAGTTACAAGATTGCTATCATACCATTATTATTGTTTCATTTAAGGGTTTATTTCTTGTCTGTGATTATTAGACAACCGAAATGAAAAACTACTATCCCTTGTTTCGCACAAAACAAAGATTTTTCGGGAGCAAAATACGTATGGGAGTATCGAATAACGAAGGAGTAGTGCTAGAAATGGCATTTCTTGCGTGTACAGAGAATGCAATTTTTTTTGAACTACTAAATCTATTTTTGCGACAAAAATTTTTCATTCCGTCGCACTCTCCGCATGTTTGGCGCAATAAAATCTTTTTTTATAATTTTCAAAAAAACTATTTTATTGGCACAAGTAAGACTTGTTTCAGAAATTTTTCGAGCAGAAGAAAACCACATCAAGAGCAGTAAAATATTTCATATAAACACCTGGCAGGCGTCGACGCCCCCCTCCTTCAGCCCCGCGCATATCTGACCGGGATGGATCCTGTGCGAATAGAAATGACTGCATTGTTCGTTATCGATCAACGGAACCCTGGCGTGTCTGAGGATTCCACTTGACACCTAAATATTCATTCAGCGAATTTATCGAGTGAAAGGGTGTCAGAAGAAGACTCAATTCTCCCGCAGGATTAATCGATAATTACTTGAGACAATTCACTCGTCCTTCCCCAACCAACCACCGTGCATTTTCCGGGATAATCGTTGAATAGATCATTATTCACGTCGGTCGGAATCCGCGCATACGTCACATGCCGATTGATATGGAAAGCAGTAGACGTCTGGGAAATATAATTATAGAGGAGTTTTTTTCATGACTTCACGTGTGAACAAATTTAATAGAAAAGATTGTTTTAGAACTTTATGAGAATTCTGTTGGAGTTGTGTTAAAAATTCTATTCAATAAAATTTTATTTTTTTGTGCCAATTCTATTGAAGAACAAAATAGAAACAGAAATTTAATAGAAAAAAGTCAATAGACTTCGATTTTTCCACAAAAATTCTCGGGTATGAATTTTCTACATTTTTTTCTGCTATAATTTGATTGATTCTCGTAACGAAATAAAAAAAGAAAACTTGGAAAATTCATATCCAAGAATTGTTATATTATCTATATCTATAGAATTTTTTTAAATGAAATAATATGTATTTAATAGAAAACAAGTCTGCAGATTTCGATTGTTCAACAGAAATTCTTGAATATGAATTTTCTGCATTTTTATTCATCTCTCGTAATACAATAAAAAAAATTGGGAAATTCATATCTAAAAATTCTTATAACAATGCCAAGAGAAAGAGTTATACGAAAATAAAGCTGTAGGCGCCATTTTTTTCCAAAAACAAATAAAATTGTCCAATACAATTCTAAAATTGTTCAACAGAAATCGTATAAAATTCTCATAGAGTTCGAAAAAGAATTCAACATCATTTCTCGGAGAAAGTCATATGTTCATAGTCAATAAATAGTTCTGAATCTGCCAAAGAAAATAAACAGAAAAAAATTGAATACAATAAATTCTGAATAAATATAAAAAAGTCTCTTAAATATTGCTAAAAAAATATATCATAATCTCCCAGACTTTTCCATTACATTTGGTCATACATGATCTAAACAGAAATAATAATAATAATAATAATAATAATAATAATAATAATAATAACCCTGAGAATTCCAATATCGTGAACCATCGAGTGAAAACTGAATAAGTGATGAGGGATAAGATTATCGACATTCGATGTTTGCCAAGTGGGTGAGTACCACAGGGTCGTCGATCCAGCCACAACAGTGAACATCCAGGGGCTCTTGGTGATCCAGTAGTGTCCCTTATTGCTGATCAATTCGTACGTCAGACATAATAATTTAATCAGGGGAGGGTGGGGTAAAATGGACACTAGACTTTCTCTTCAATTATTCATAACTCAGAAACAAATTCATCAATTGAGCTCAATTTAGGCTCATCACAAAGGGAAAGAATTGTTCTTTGAATTGAAAAGAAAATCATTAAATTTTATCAACATTTCAACTGCTCATTAACATTTAAAAAAAAGTCAAAAGTGTCCGTTTTACCCCAGCCTCCCCTACTGGAAAAAATTACAATCCACCGGCTGTGAAAAATTCTAGTGCTGTTAAGGTAAAATTTCTTGGTATTTCTGGTAAAATTTTTGGGGATTTCTGTGAAATTTTCACAGAAATATGGGGAAAAAGTCACGTTTTCCCCAATAAAATTTCTAGTGTCGGCACTGGAATTTTTTCCCGGCCGTCACTTTACGCCTCTTTTCCCGTGGGAGCACTAGAATTTTTCTAAAAAATTTCTCTCCGCGTAGTTGTCCTCTTGCAAAGTGACAATTAGGTGACTGCGGTCTTCATTTCCTCCAACATCCCTTGAAATCTTTTGGATAACAGCGACGGAAATAAATCACAGCGATGGAAATAAATCAGAACATAAAGGGAAACTTCTACCTAGCCAAGCAGTGGGCGGCTGTCAAGACGAATCTCTCCGCGATGTAGGTGCCTCCACAGTGATGACGGCCACTGTGACGCCACTGGATGGAGACCTGTACGATTCAAGGGCCCTTTTATCTATCTAAACCGGAAGATACTTGACGATAAATGCTTTTACTGTGAATGGATATGTCTCGATATCCGTCGCTTCACCCCCAATTATTCTGCTTCCAATGGCCTCCTCGGCGTCTCTGTCAAAGGATGCTGAATCCATTGACCGACTTGTACTACTTGTGAGGTACCACAATTGATAGATTCCGAGAAATAGTCGCAATGGCGACATTTTAACACTTATCCTGCGATTTTGGAGGTTTCGGTCGACTTCCGATCGTGTTTTTTTTTCTCTTTTACATCCCTCGTAAAACAGTCCGATTATTTTCGACTGGGTGATAAGAAATAAATCGGCGCTAATGATGTTTCTGTCTTTGCCCGTTAAATTCCGATTGATTGGCAGGTAGAGTTTGGAGTTTGATAAAATTATGAGAATTAATAGGATCAAGGGTATGTGGCCGTTATCGTCCGATTACTTTCCAAAAAAGTGGTTGATAGATCTCATATTACTCATATAACTCTTTAATATTTATTGCTCATTTAAATATTGACCATTTTCTGTTCTTTTTTAACCCAGCAAACATTTTTTTCTGTTTATTTTGACCCAGCAAACAGTATGTCCACAATTTGTCGACAAATTGCCGATGTCCTGTTAAATTTTAGATGGTAAAAATTGTCTTCTGGGGAGGAATCTAGTGCGAAATTTTTAATGGAAAATATTTTGCAAAAGGTGATCAATAGGTTTAAATCTTCAGTTTGGAAATGTTTCTGTAAAAATTCCTCAGCAAAAAATTGATAAACTTGTTTGCGTCAATTTTCTATAAAAAATATCTAAATAGAAGGAGTCGTATAAATAAATAATATTTTATTAATTGAAGACAGACGTTTCCAAAAAACATTTCAAGGAAATCGACCAAAAACCAATAGAATTTTCTGACAAAATGGGCTCTTTGGTATCTGTGGAAAAGCATGCCAATCCGTCGATTGACTTGTACTACTTGTGAGGTACCACAATTCATAAATTCTGAAAAATACTCGCAATGGAGACATTTTAACACTTATCCTGCGATTTTGGAGGTTCCAGTCGACTTCAAATCGTGTTTTTTTCTCTTTTACACTCATTCATGACCATTTTCTGTTTCTTTTAATTAAGGAATCTAGTGCAAAATTTTTAATAGAAAATATTTTACAGAAGATGATCAATAGATTAAAATCTTTCTATACAAAATTCATTGGTTTGGAAATGGTTCTGCAATAATCCTTTTGCAAATAATTGTTAAACTTGTTTGCGTCAATTTTCTATAAAAAATATCTCAATAGAACGAATTGTATAAATAAATAATAGTTGATTAACTGAAGATAAACGATTCCAAAAAACATTTGAATAGAATTTTCTGACAAAATGGGCTCTTTGGTGTCTGTGGAAAAGCATGCCAATCCGTCGATTGACTGGTACTACTTGTGAGGTACCACAATTCATAAATTCTGAAAAATACTCGTAATGAGGTCATTTTAACATTTATCGCGCTTTTTCTCTTTCTTTTAAGAAAAGAATGTAGTGCAGAATTGTTTGATAGAAAATATTTTGCAACTCCTTAGTTTGTAAATGTTTCTGTAATAATTCCTCTGCAAAAAAATCAACGGAATAAGTTGCATAAATAAATAACAGTTTATTAATTGCAGGAGCCGGACAAATGCCCCAGATTTTTCCATCAAACTTAATGTCTATTTAAATTGTTCGATAATTATTCAGTAGAAAGAGTCTGCTTCTCATCCGCCGCGTGGGCACTCCCCCAAAAAATATCGATAATCCATATCTCCGATGATTGAATTTTCATTTTCACGGTTTTGCTCCCTCCAAGGTCTTGACGGAATCGCTAATGATCTCAAATTAATAGCTTTGTTTCTTTATTACGATATGCTATATCAATTGACATTATTATATTATTTAATATGCTTTTGTATATTTAAATAACGTTATGATTATTAGCTTCATTATTGTTGATATTGAGGAGTAAATTTAGCATCTCACGTAGTATGCCGATGAGGTCGTGGGGCGTTAGCCCACGAGGAAGAGTTGCTGATGAGGAAGCTTTAGTCGGTTCCACGACTATGTCCACTGGAAATATAAATTTTCAGTCTTACGATGTGTTTTTAAAATAAAAAAACGAATCCGTGGGAGACTGATGAATTCCAAATACGGCCAATTTTTCGTAAAAGTTTATAGTAAATAATTTCTGCGAAATTCAACTCTAAAAATAGAAACTTCGTGGAATCATTTCCTATTCGGTTCAAATAATTAATTAGCAAATAATTTCTTATTTGATTGAAAGAGTTATTGCTGCCTTCAGTAACAATATACGTGGATAGAAAAAATCAATAACTCATTAGAATGCAATAAATTAAGTCATTTAGAATTTTTTCGAATGTCAATTAATTCGTCAAGTAAATTACGTGAGAAAAATTCGAAAAAAATCCTGAATGTTCGACGTCATTCAAGTTACATTTTGCACAGAATTATTATTTTTTTAAACACTCCTTGTTTATGCACAAATAATTAACATTGTTTAAACTTTTGTACACATTTTTTTAAACACGAAATTGATTTCTGGTAAAATGTAGAATATGTATAATTTGTTGCGATTCCAAACAAATTATTTTTCGGGAGGAAAATTGATTGTTTATAAATTATTTGTAAAAATGCTCGTAATTTCAAAAAATTGCAATTTTTCAATTATTTCATCAATGTTCCTCCAAAAGTAAAGTTTCTCATTTTTCCCGATTTTTGAAATGTTTTAAAATTCAGATGTGCAAAGTTTAAATAATAAACTTATAAAAATAATAAAAATGATAAAATGTCCAGAAATTTCTGTTGAAAAAATTCAATAGAAATAATTCCTAGATTTTTATCCTTTTCCAAATTCCTCAATATCAATTTTCAATGTTTTTTCAACTGCATTTCACTTTACAATGCAATAGAATTTCACTAGAATTCCGTCCGCTCTTCAATTAAATTTTATCGTACACGTCCTCCATACTACGCAAGAATCACGAGTAAAATTGTGTCAAATAATCACCTGGAACAGTCTTATTTCTGATGTCAGCGTATTGTTTGATATGAATGAGAAAATCTGGTATTGTTGCTTGACATGCAATCTCGAGACGTCCATTATCCCCAGCATGCAGCTCAGACACCTTGATTGCGAGTTTCGAGGTTGCTGACATCAGGGGCCTCTTGTGTTGACGATGGGGATAAGTTGTCACGAGTGTCATGTCTGCCTGTTGAGTATAATACGTGAGTTTCGGTAATTGTTAATCGGAGAATTTGGCTCCCATTACTGGACACTTGACCAACCTCTTTGCCGTTTATGAGCCATGTCAGATGAGGAACTGGATACGCCGGGGATGAGGTACAATTAGCCTCGAGAACTTCTCCTACTGTGTAAACATCCTTCTTGAATGTTATGTGGGGATTTTCCGTTTGTGGTACTGGAGAGTTCAGACGAAAATCGATTGGTTTGAGACGAAATTTGTGGATTACAATTCAGTAGCGAAGTGGTAAAAAAGTTTAAGTCAATTTTTTCCATTAAATCTCGGAATCTAAGGGAGATAGCAAAATTTTTGTGATAACCTTTCTTGTAGAGCCCATTGAGAGCTACAACAAATGTAATTACGAAAATTTCGCTATCTCCCTTGGATTCTGAAATATTCCTCAAAAACTCAGCTGGGAGATAAGTAGACGTAAACCGTTTTACCACTTTGCTACTGAATTGCAATGCATGGAAAATTAAATAGAATAAATCTTCAAGACATTCTATTGAATAAAAAAATGCAGAAAATTTCATTGAATTTTAATTGGAACTCTAAGAATTCTATTTTTTTTGAGCGGATTTCTATTGAAAATCGTGAATAGAATTTTCATAAATTTTCAGACTTCTGACTTCGAATAAAACTCCAATGGAATTTCTTAGATAAAGCGCTAGGTTTTTCTACTAATTTTTTTCCGCACGGAAATCAATTCCGAATTACTGATGTCTTGAGACTCACAAGTGAATTTCATTAATTTTTAAATTTTTAAATCAGATAGAATTCTAAGAATTCTATTTTTTTTGAGCGGATTTCTATTGAAAATCGTGAATAGAATTTTTCATAAATTTTCAGACTTCTGACTTCGAATAAAACTCCAATGGAATTTCTTAGATAAAGCGCTAGGTTTTTCTACTAATTTTTTTCCGCACGGAAATTAATTCCGAATTACTGATGTCTTGAGACTCACAAGTGAATTTCATTAATTTTTAAATTTTTAAATCAGATAGAATTCTAAGAATTCTATTTTTTTTGAGCGGATTTCTATTGAAAATCATGAATAGAATTTTTCATAAATTTTCAGACTTCTGACTTCGAATAAAACTCCAATGGAATTTCTTAGATAAAGCCCTAGGTTTTTCTACTAATTTTTTTCCGCACGGAAATTAATTCCAAATTATTGATGTCTTGAGACTCACAAGTGAATTTCATTAATTTTTAAATTTTTAAATCAGATCTGGTTTTCGCGAGCTGCATCGCGAGGTCAGCAAATATTGGAGATTTAAAGAGCTCAATTTTGCCGGCGTCTGTTCCGTGTTAGTTTGACATTTTCATTCATTCTGCATTTATCTTAGGAACAAATCATTTCGAGGGGAAATGTCACAAGACCGTTTGTACCTCTTGCCCTTTCGTGTGGACAACACTAAAGATTTGGAGATTTTTAATCATGAAATTGACGAATTAATTTTCTGGGAATCGCACTTCAATGAAATTCCCTGAAAAAAACACTAGTTTTCTTCATAAAATTTGCGAATTTCTAGATTTCTTAGATTTCCCTAGATTTCCGGAGTTAAAATTTCTATTCATTTTCAGCGCGGATTTCTGTTGAAAATTATGAATAGATTTTGTCATAAATTTTTACTGGACTTCTAATAGGGCTTCATGAAATTCTTATGGAATTCGGATAGAAATTCTCATGGAATTGGAACAGAAATTCAGTAGAATTTCTTTTTTTCCATACGGAAAATAATTTTGAATTATTGATTCCTCGAGATTCACAGGTGAATTTCATAAATTTTTAAATTTTTACGTCAGCAAACATTATTGATTTAGAGAGTTCAATTTTGCCTGCGTCTGTTCCGTGTTAGTTTGACATTCTCATTCATTCTGCATTTATCTTAGGAACAGATCATTTCGAGGGGAAATGTCACAAGACCTGTGTACCTCTTGCCCTTTCGTGTGGACAACCCTATAGATTTGGAGATTTTCAATCATGAAATTTGTCAACTGAGTTGCGTCAGAAAGATTTTAAAAAGCCAAGAATAAGAAACTTGGCCAATTAAATTTCAATAAATCTTATATAAAAAATCCCAACATATCTGCTTAATTATATTTTCTAGAAATCGAGGTAAAAAAATCTCATAGAGTTCCAGTAGTAATTTAACGAAATTTTCCTGAACAAAGCGTTGGGTTTCTCATCAAACTTGTCCGTTGGTGAGAAACATTGGCTGAATATTTTCAGAATGTATTTAGAAATTCTCGCCGTCCAAAATTACCCCTTCGATCCTTTAGAAAATTAATACCACTACAAAAATCATCATCTCACCTATCACCTGCAGCTTGACTTCACTAGAACTCTCAGTATAAATAGGGTGGGTGGAGCTCACTAAGCAGGAGTACAGACCCGCCGCCTCATACCGCACATTATTTAATTTGATTGTCTTGCCATCGAGCGAATGCTGATACCCAAACACACAAAATAGCATTTTCAAAAATGATCACCCATAAAAATGATAAAAGCAAGTGGATAATTTTTTTTGTGCTCCACTATAGTTTTTTATGTAAAACATGTACTTAAGGAGGTCAAGTAAATTAATTTTATGCAGAAAATTAACGCACTGAGGGAAAACAGCAAAGTTCTCGAACAAGTCTTGCTTGTGTAAAAAAATTGTTTATCAAAAATTATCAAAAAATAATTTTTTTGCCTCGAACATGCGAAACGCAGGGAAAAAACGAAAATTTTGACGACTAAAATGCCTCCATTCACAACCACAAGCGGCAAACTCACTTCAAAGTCGACACCCGGCGGTGCAGTTTTACGAAACGGCTCTTTACGATCTCGTATATACTCGAGTATCTTCCGCTCATCTTTTTTAAACTCTACTTTATGCAGATCATCAGGTGCGACTGTGTGATTACACATGAGTATCGCTGAATTATTGTACTTGACGTAGTTTGGCGCAACAAGCCGTACCTCAGGTGTTCCATCTGAAAGTAATTCAGAAAAATCATAGCGCGAAGACAAAACTTCAATGAGCTCACATTTCCATTTTTCTAATTTCAAAATTTTTCGAATAGCGAAATCAACATGAATTTTCTCCATTTTGTTCACTGCTTTGAAGGCGAGAAATTTCTAAATAGAATTTTTAATAGGATTCTAACAAAAATGAATGAATGAATTATATAATAATAACCCAATTATCAATTTCTGTCGTTTATACTATTATTCATTCTATTATTCAACAATTATTGTTTTAAGTTCTTGCCGCCCACTGTTTTTTCCAGTTTTTGAATTTCTTCTCGCTGAAATGTTGATATCCCTCTAATACTTGAAGAAAAAAATTGACTCGAAGTCCCGCCGTCGTAAAAGAAGAAAAAAAAATCATTTTCTAGCCGATTATCCCTTTATGATTCGTTTTTCATTTCCTTTTCATAATAATAATTGAAATCCGATCATAGGAATGGGGAGTACCGATATCCTTTTACTATATGACGGGAAAAATGGATTTAAAAAAAATTGAAGAATACATGAAGAGATTTTTCTATTACCCGAATGAGATTTCGAATGACTTTTGTTTTGTGCGTTTGTCTTAATCACCAAAAAAACATTTTCATTAATCTTCAACATAATTCCTCTTCACTCAATATTATAACATGTGAATTAATTGATAAAATAAAATTAATCCAATTGTGAAAACGGAAATGGAAAGAAAATAAATTGAAATAAAATAGTATAAATTAATCTAGTCTTCCCTAATCTAAATAAAAATTGTTGAATAGAACTCCAATAAAAATCAAATACTTTCTTTCAAACTATTCCTACGATACCATCAAAAACTGCACAAAACATCCCACCTCTCAAACAAAAAAATCCCAACATATCTGCTTAATGATATTTTCTAGAAATCGGGATAAAAAAATCTCGGAGACTTTCAATAGTAATTCCATGAAATTTTCCTGAACAAACCGCTAGATTTCTTATCAAACTTGTCCATTTCTAAGGAAAATTGACTGAATGTAGAAAAATACATTTTCAAAATTTTCAGGAATACATGGAGAGATTTTTCTATTACTCGAATGATTTTTGTTTTATCCGTTTGTCTTGATAACCAAAAAAACATTTTCATTGATCTTCAACATAATTCCTCTTCACTCAATATTATAACATGTGAATTAATTGATAAAATAAAATTAATCCAATTGTGAAAACGGAAATGGAAAGAAAATAAATTGAAATAAAATAGTATAAATGAATCTGGTCTTCCCTAATCTAAATAAAAATTGTTGAATAGAACTCCAATAAAAATCAAATACTTTCTTTCAAACTATTCCTACGATACCATTAAAACCTGCACAAAACATCCCACCCTCAGTGAACTCTCCCACCCGTGTTGAATTTCTCCACTTATTAAAGGATTCCATTGAATAAAAAATAATGTATGCAAATTGGGCCGAATAAACCGCTTCAATGGGGTGTGTAACGGGTGGCACTTTGGCCCACTACATAATAGGTGGGCTTATACCCTGTTGCTGGGAGGCGTTACTGTATCGATCAGGAAAGCGCGTGTCTCTCCCACACACACCAGCGCTTATTTTTCCAACCCTCGTCTATTTATTCAATTAACATCGAGGAGCATTCGACAAATGAATAAAAAAACGCCCCCACCCGAAGCACCCAGTCCTTCTCCCCCGCGATTGCCAAAAAAAATCCGACAGATTGTGCTCCGAACCCCCCAACAAACATCTCCGCCCTCATTACCTCCACAAAACTCTGATAATGCACTCAACACTGTCTCACAACTGAAAAATCCAATCGACTCATCCATTAAACTCGCATCGATCTACGAGCGTATCCCCGCCAAAGCCCAGCCCGATCACCGCTGTGACGTAGATCCCGACTAGACCTATTCATTCCCCCCATAACACAACTCCCGATTATCGTTTAAAGTGCAAGATAAATATATTTCCCTCCTTCCCGCTCGATTTAGCCTGACATTTACCGGAATAGAGGGGAAAAACAAGTGGACTGACTAGACAATTTCTCGACAAAGTATATACCAGAGACCGAGAATGCACACGTCCCCGTGGAAATCCCTTCTGTAAAAAAAAAAATGATAATTCTCACAGAAGCGGAAAACATTGACACCTCCCCCCCCCCCCCC